TACCTCTTTTATCATTAAAGGATTTCAAGGTAACTTGCAGACGAATGTCATTTACACTGATTTCAGTAAAGAATTCGATTCTGTAAACTATTCCCTTCTAGAACAAAAACTGGACCTTTTGGGGTTTCCGCCTGACATTTCATTTCACCCATCACGCTTCACTTTCACGCTTGCAATCCGATCTCAATAACTTTCAGTCATGGTGTTGTGCAAATATGTTACACCTAAATGCCTCGAAATGCAAAGTAATGACATTTCATCGCTCCAGCCCCCTTTTGGCTCCTTATAGCCTCTACGGTAGTTCTCTTGAGGGAATTACCTTGGTTGATGATCTTGGTGTTAAATTAGACCCAAAGTTAAAGTTTTCTGAACACATTTCTACCATGGTAAATAAGGCCATGGGTGTGCTTGGGTTTATAAAGAGGTGGTCAAAGGAATTTGAAGATCCCTATATAACGAAGACTCTTTACATCTCGCTTGTTCGTCCGATTTTAGAGTACGGCTCTTGTGTATGGTGCCCCCAGTACAAAGTACACCAGGACCGTATAGAATCAGTCCAGAAAAACTTTTTGCTCTGCGTGGCCTTAACTGGGATGCAGGTGTGAGACTGCCATCTTACCCTCGTAGATTGCTTTAAACCTTCCAACCTTAGTTAGTCGTAGAAAAATGCTTGGTGTGATTTTTGTGCACAACCTGATCAAGGGTGACGTAGATAGCCCTGACTTGACCGCATAAACTTTACGATTCCTATTAGATCTACTAGAAACTTCATTCCTTTGTCCTTCCGCTTCCGGCAGCGCCCCTCGGTCGGTTGGGCGGGAGGAGGGCTGCGTTTCTGACTGGGTTCCGCGCGTAACAGGCTTCGGCTTGGTGTCGCATGGGCCACTTGATGGTTCAGTCATTGCATATCAACGTCCAGACATAAAATCCCTACCTCTGAAAAAAAACATTAAAAAAATAGCAGATTTTAAAAAATTCTTAACAAAAACTAAACCTTAAAAAAAACCATAATTCGTTAAAAATTTTTAAACCCCGAAATCTATAAAAAAAATTGGTTTTGGGTCACATCGGAAATGTCGTGTTGACTAGTGTTATTATTATTAAACTCACATAGTAAATTGGAATCTATACTTTAAATTTTAGAAAAAAATCGGTGTGTAAGCGGCTATCTCCGCAACGCGTGCACCAAATTGCATGCTGTTTTTTTTTAATGATATCCAGAGAATGTGACCTTGTTTGCAAAAACAAATTTTTACTTTTCTATAAATAGGTTCCTCAAGAATTAAAAATGAATCAAAAGAATCTTAAATTTGGTCCAATAGTGTGTGTTTGAAGGCCTATTTCATTTTATTTCTCCGCAATGCGTGCGCCAAATTGCATGCTGTTTTTTTAAATGATAGCCAGAGTATGTGGCATTCTTTCTTTAGTTTTTATAAATAGGTTCCACAAAAATTAAAAATTAATAAAAAAAAAATCGCATATTTGGTCTAAAAATGTGTGTTTGAACGCCTACTTCATTTCATTTTGTGTCATTCTGTAGAACAAATTTGGTCCAAAAATAAGTGATTGAACGCCTATTTCATTTCATTTTGTGTCATTCTGTAGAACAGAACATTTGATGATAGATTTTGTTTTTTATAACTTTTTGTGTGAAAATTTGTTTTCTGAAAAAATTGCAATTTGTGTAAGTATATTTGTTGCTTTTGAAAATATGTGCGTTTTAAACCAACCTGTGTGGTTTTTAAAGTTAAATGTCGAGACGATTAAATTTGGGTCGGCAAACGCGAAATTCATTTCAAGTTGTGGCTTCAAGGAGCCGTGTAAGTAGCCAAGACATTACACATCGCAATGAAAATAATCGTAAACAAATATTTTGAATAATCTGAATAAAATATGCTTCAAATATTATATTATATTGGATCTATATCTATATACATATATAAAAACGAGAAGGAACGTGTGAGTCGCTTCTGGGGACGCGACTCTACTTATACCCGTACTCAGTCAGTATATACATTTTTGAGCATATGATTTTTTAGAATTTTAGAAAAAAAAAAAAATTTTACATATTACATTTTTTTGCTACATCTGCTATCTACATCTACATATACAATGTATATTCTACATCTAACATGTAGATTGTACATGTTCCATTTCGATTCTTCATCTCCTCCGCTAGGGGTTGCTCGCGCACTGAACGCGGCAGAGTGTGCGAGCGAGAAGGAAAATGAGTTGCGTTGTTTGGAACGGGAGGGGAAGCAACTGAAAATGAATTTCTTCATTCTGGCTATAATTATGATCCGATCTGATTCAGATTCGGCAATCTGGTAGATATGGTCATTCTCTACGATACTGCGTTTTTTGTTTAATCGTATCTTTAAAATTGTGGCTGCCACAGATTTTCGTCCTTTGTGGGTGGGGAAGGGGGCGGGGCGAAATTTTGAAATACACTTGTAGCAGTGGGATATCACATGAGTCTGGAAACAAAATTTGGTTCCTCTAGCTTTTATAGTCTCTGAGATCCAGGCGTCAAACAAGACGGACAGACGGACAGACAGACATGGCTCTATCGATTCGGCTATTATTGCTGATCAAGAATATATATACTTTATGGGGTCGGAAAATTTTCCTTCTCTGCGTTACACACATCCACTTTTACCACAAATCTAATATACCCCTTAACGCTTTTTTGAGTACGGGTATAAAAATGAATCCGTATGAATACCTTGGTCCCGGCATCACGCGTGAACCGCTGGACCGGTTCGCTAATTCTTTTTTTATACCCGTACTCAAAAAAGAGTTAAGGGGTATATTAGATTTGTGGTAAAAGTGGATGTGTGTAACACAGAGAAGGAAACGTTTCCGACCCCATAAAGTATATATATTCTTGATCAGCATCAATAGCCGAGTCGATAGAGCAATGTCTGTCTGTCCGTCTGTCCGTCTGACCGTCTGTCCGTCTGTCCGTCTTGTTTGACGCCTGGATCTCAGAGACTATAAGAGCTAGGGCAACCAAATTTGGTTTCCAGACTCATGTGATATCACACTGCTACAAGTGTATTTCAAAATTTCGCCTCGCCCCCTTCCGCCCACACAAAGGACGAAAATCTGTGGCAGGCACATTTTTAAAGATACGATAAAATTAAAGACGCATTATAGTAGAGAATGACCATATCTACCAGACTGCCGAATCTGAATCAGATCGGATCATAATTATAGCCAGAATGAAGAAATTAATTTTCAGTTGGCTCCCCTGCCCCCTCCTGCCAACGACAACGCAACTCATTTTCCTTCTCGCTCGCACACTCTGCCGCGTTCAGTGCGCGAGCAACATCTAGCGGAGGAGATGTAGAATCTAAATGGTACATGTAGAATCTACATGTTAGATGTAGAATATACATAATATATGAAGATGTAGATAACAGATGTAGCAAAAAAATGTAATATGTAAAATTTTTTTTTTTAATTCTTAAATTCTAAAAAATCATATGCTCAAAAATTTATATAGTGACTGAGTACGGGTATAAGTAGAGTCGCGTCTTTAGAAGCGACTCGCACGTTCCTTCTCGTTGTGTTTGTTATTGTCAGAAAACGTCGCGGAAAATTAGAAAATTTTAGAATGCTCGGATTTAATTTTATTTTTGTTGTATGAAGTAGGTGGCTGTCAAACGCTTGCTTGATTTTTTTTATGGAAAGTGTTACATAAATCAAAAAATAAATTCAGCCGGCTTATATTGCTTATATAGTACAGATGAAATAAATCTTTTTAGACCGATTTTGTTTATTATTTAAAAATAGTTTAAAAGTGCCTGTTTGCTGAAAAAGTCAGAAAATTGTATGGGATGTGTTACATACATTTTTTATCTGTTTTGAAAATTGGTTTGTTATCATTATTAATGTATGTATAGAGTACAGAGTACTGTATACAGATTAATAGAGATGCTGCACAAGAAAATGGTTTTCAAATATGAATGAGGAAGAACGGCAATACCGTACGAGAGATAATAACACGAAGAATCCATATGCGGGAGACGGAATAGGAGTCGAAGATGTCGGAATGGAATATTGTGTATTTTATACCCTTCAATTATTGGAAAAACATTTATGTTGAACGTATTATTCGACTCAGTTCTCATCCATGCAACTACAATGTTCCACAGTGAAACGTGGCCGGGTATAGCTAGTTTTGCAATAAAAATATTTACAGCTCTATCAGTGTAGTGTTTTTTGAATACGCTAAGGTCGATTTTTCGACCACTGGTCATAAACGATATACGAAAATAAAAAATGTGCACTTTATTGGTTTTTGAGAGTTAAACGGCATATTCTAAAGGCCTGTCTCCAGCACCACGGAAAATTCCTGCCAGGAACTTACTAGTTATTCCGTGAGGGTGTGGAACATAGCTAAAACAGGTTTGATGAATCAGCTGTGTTTTGTAAACAGTGCCAACTATAAAATTCTGTTAATATTAAAAAAGAAAAAAAAATGCACTCTGATGATGAAGTGATTGTGTTGGTGGCGGCATATATTGTTGCAAAAAAAAAAAGAATAATTTTCATCTCTCTTTTTAGTTTTGCGGACAGTTTTTGCCTACATCTTGCACCATTCACTTCAGGAATAATTGTAAGCCATATATTCCTGAGCTGTGTATCAGCTGTTATCTCAGTCCACACACGCTCTCGATAGGCAACTATCAATATGAATCTGTGGATTTCGTTCACACTCACGCCAGGAAAACGTGGCACAGTTTTATATATTAGTTATTTTTCATTCCAACCCTTGCTAACTAAATGGCCCTTCGCAGTCGGCCATTATAGAACGCTGCAGAGATGTTGATATATATTCAATATATTCTTTGTATCAAATTCTAGCTTGCTAACAATTAGCAAACACATTCATAAGGTATAAACACGTAAATTTTACATTACCCAAGCCACGCTCCCTTGTATATGCATTTAATTAAATATTTTAATATTTAACGGAGCAATTTTCCCTATTTTCAAATGGGGAAACTGCACCATGGGTCAAAGAACTTGACAAAGTGATTGCCGCTGGACACGTGCTTGGCAAAGGTGTCCTCGGTGAGATCCACCACCTTGCCCAAATGTTGATTGGCCACGGGCACGGTGCCTTCTCCGTTCTCCTTCAGCGTCTCCTCGGCCTGCTCCACTTCGGAGTTCAGCTCGGGGTTTATGAAGTCCGTGATAGCGGGAAGGTCGCGGGTGCCGTTGAACTTCACCGACTCCGTATCGCCGAGCTTAAAAAGATGCAGCGTGGGATAGCCGGTCACCTCGTGTTCAGCACACAGTGCCTTGTGTTTGGTGCAGTCCACATTTGCAGTGATCACCTTCGGGTCTTCGACATTCATTATCTCCGCCAGCTGCTCCCAGAATGGATGCAGACGCTTGCAATGGCCGTACCTGCATTTCATGATTAAAACGAATTTAAAAAATGAATAGAAAAACAGTTCTATTAGTTTAAGTTTAATTTTTCAATGTTTTTACTAGCCTTTGTTAACTTTTCGTGCTATCAGCTCAAGAAATGTAAAATAATTTATTTAATTTTTTTTTTTGCTAGTTTAACTAGTTTTGCTAGTTTGCTAGTTTAACCCCTCCTCTAGCCCAACCAACCGAGGGGCGCTGCAGCACGACGCGTATTACCGAACCGATCGCGAGCATGGAGGAAAGATAGTTGTTAGACTAAAATTCGAGGAAAATTAGAACTAAACACAACTCAAAGAGCTAAACATGCAAAGATAGCTAAGAAATAATACTAATTATAGGAGAGGTATGTTAGTATTAATGATTTAAGAAGAGGAAGGGAATTTGTGGTGGATATTATATGATAGAGGGAGTTGGAGTTCGAGCATAGGACCCTAAAAGGTTCGTGCAAGGAATAATTTGATCTACAAAGCGGAAGGAACAACGGAATAAAGTTTCTAGTAGATCTTATAGGAATCTTACAGTTTATGCGGCTCAAGAAGTCAGGGCTATTTACATCAAATGATGTGATCAGGTTGTGCATAAAAAGCACACCAAATCTACGACTAACTAAGGTTGAAAGGTTTATTAAAAGCAATCTACGAGAGTAGGATGGCAGTCTCACACCTGCATGCCAGTTTAGGCCACGCAGAGCAAAAGAGCCAAAAAGGAGCTGGAGCGATGAAATGTCATTACTTTACATTTCGAGGCATTTAGGTGTAACATATTTGCACAACACTGTAATGTCCTATTTCAGGCTGAGGTATGCATCAGCCTGTCCAGGGTCCTGAATTACAAGATATTTATAATTCACGAGGACTTTATCGGGAAACCAGGAACTTTGCCAGAAACTGAAATAGAAATCACTTTTTTTGGTTCTTTTAATTTTCAATGGTTTTCTTTATTCTTCCGTATTCTTCCGTATGATTATGCTACCCGGTTATGTTATGTTTACTTGTACTACGACGCGGATGGTGATTTGACTGACTCTCGCGATGGCTGATTGACTGCCTCCGACGATGGCTGGTGGACTGCCCTTTTCTTCATGCAAGGCAGTGCCTTTTATAGATCGGCCGGCCTTCGATTTTCCCATGAATGTCTTACAGATATCTTATTTCTACTCCAGAATGTGGGAAGGGTTCTTACATAAATATATATTGCCGAATTATAGTCTGCGCGTGCAGACGGGCTGATCAATAACAGAAGGTTACCTAATCATTAGCCCTGCAGTCAGTGTCCAATATCCCCGGTAAGGAGAGTCGGAGACTGCTGACTGGCTTGCGCATGTGGGGGTTTTGCCCGGTAATCGAGGGTTACCTAAGCAATCGCCTCCCAACAAGTGTCCAATGTCCCAGGTAAGGTGATCGGTGTGCACCGGTACCATGGGAAAGGAATTTCGTTGGCACTTCGGGAATATATATTGTTAGGAATATTTATTTATTCAATATTATTTTAGGTACTTATTGCGTAAGCCCCTTCTGCTGGTCTCCTGTCTTTTGGCGTGTGCTGAGTTTGCATTTTTGCTGGGTGTTGATCGCTTCACCTGGGAGTAGCGTTGGCTGCGTCATCTGCTTGTGACGAACCATGGGATCCATGGTTCGTTACACCCCCCCCCCTTTCTTCCGGGTGGGTGATGGAGAGATTTGTGGCGTCGCTTGGCGGGTGCTGAGGTTCGCCTTTTTCCGGGTTATCCTGTCCTTTGGCTTGTGCCGGTCTCCGGATTCGTCGCTGTTAGTCTCGTCACTTTAGCGTGGCGTCGGTAACGTTATATTTTCTACTGCGGTTGTGATCGTGGCCTTTCTGCTGTTCTGGGTGCTTTGTAGTTGGTGTAGTTGGTGCTTGGTGGGTCGATTATCCCATATGACGATGGTTTTCTCGGCGGTTTTCTTTGGTCGTTATTTGTCCAGGCATTCTCGAATCTGCGGGGCTATGTCGGGTGGCCAAGGATCCGTCGGTAGTTCTGGGTCGTCTTCGGTGGGTTCGGTGGCTCCGGGGTCAAAGGTTTGATTCGGGTTTTCCGGAAGGATGGGTTTGTCAAATGTGCTTGACGGATCGATGCTCCGGTGGTAATCGCTTATGTGGGCGATGATCGGGGAGGCGTTGGACGTGGGTAGAGTAGTTTTGTAGCTCTGGCGGAACACTTGGGTGGTATTGTCTCCAGACTGGTGCATGAACTAGCTGGTCTCGACGATGTCTCTTTTGTTGGACCAATGGCTTGTTTGGGCGACGGATGCTTGGGTCTGTGGGGGCCAAGTCCGGCGGCCACGGCTCCGGGACTGGTTCGGGCTCATGTTCGGTTCGATCGGCGGCTTCGGAGTCAAATGGCTGGCTGGGGTCTTCGGGTAAGAGGGTTGTGTCGAAGGAGCTGTGCGTTTCGATCCTCCGTTGGTAGTCGCTTAGGTGGGCGACGATGGGTGTGGTGTCGACCATGGGTACGATGTTTTGGTACGCCGGGTGTAGTACTCGTGTTATACTAAAGCCAGACTGGTACGTGAACAGGTGAGTCGCGATGACGCCTCTGGTATCACAACAACGACTTGTATGGGCGACGAAGATCTCGGACATGGCTCTAGGCATGGCTCGGTGCATGACGCTAAAAATCATGTCAGTACGCGAAAGGTACTCCATTGTGTGGGCGAGGATCGGTGTGGCGTCGGCCGTGGGTACGACAGGGCTGCGGTCGGTGTATCGTGGGGCCATCGTACTGGTTTCCGGGCCCGCGTTGAAGGGCTCTGTGGATATCAGTTCAATTATGGGCCCCGACCAGGGTGGGGTCAGCGTGGCTGTTTCCCTTGTTGCTGGGCTGTTGATCTGTTGCTGCCGTTGTCGGTGTCGATGTTGTTGTCTTGGTTCAGGGCTGATTGTCGTCTCTGAGGGTGTTTCTATGTTCACTTTCTCCTGGGAGGAGAGGGTACTTACATGCTCTGTTGCTGGACTTGGACCTGGGCTTCCTGTGTCGAGCGCCGGGTTCCAGTGCGTTAGTGCTTGTCTCGTGGGTGAGATTCTCGTTGTTTTTTTTGGGGTATGTGTCCCCTGTGGTTGGCCTAGGACGCGGTTGCTCCGTAGTGACCGTGGGACTCGTTTTCCCGTTTGCTTGATTGTTGTTTCGTGTTGTTGGTTTCGGCTTCATGTTCGTGGGCCGGCGCTTTGCCTCTGCTGGGGCTGGGCTGGGTGTCGTGTTCTTCGTGGCGATCTCGGTCGTTTTGTTCGTTGGGGTAGGTCGTGGTCGTGTGTTCGCTGAGGTTTGTATGGGTGTCATGTTGGCGTGGCTGGGTGCCGAACTTGTTGGGATCCAAGTGTAAAGTTCATATGTATGCCGATGATGTCCAAATGTATGTTAGTTGTCCGTTAAGCAGAATAAATGAGTGTGTATTGTTGTGTAATGTTGAACTGTCGAACGTTAGTAAATGGGCCAACTGTAATGGATTGTCGCTAAACCCTGTCAAATCTAAATGTATTATTATATATAAAAGGTTGCTGAGCACGGAAAATCTGCCTAAATTATCAATAAATAACACGCTAATTGAATATGTGGATCTGTTAATCTTGGAATCACCATAAACAAGACATTGTCCTGGAGTGACCAAGTAACCAAGGCAGCCGGTAAAACGTATGGTATAATAAGACAACTTTCCTTGACTCAGCAATTTTTGCCAAAACAACTCAGACTCTTAATAGCCAAAACATATCTTATACCCACGCTGTGTTATGGTATTGAAATTTTTGGAAATTGTGATAGGGCATCTCAGCACAGACTAAAAGTGGCATACAATAATGTAGCTAGATATGTCTTCAATGTTAAGAGGGGTGAACACATATCCAGTTTGGCTGACAGCATCAATCAGATGAAGTTTGAAACTTGGAAAGACTACAGAACTTTAATAATGTTGCATAAAATCGTTTATACAGGAGAACCGAGCTATTTATATGAAAAGCTGCGTTTTGGTGTGTCTGCAAGAACCAACAATATTATTAATATTCGTTACAAGCTTGGCTGTTCCGAGCGGCAATTTTTTATACATGCTATTCGTCTGTGGAATCAGCTACCACAAAACCTAAAGAAAATTAGTAGTGCATCGCAATATAGGGAAAAATTAAATTTATACTTAAAAAACTATTAATAGTAATATAAGTAAAAATAATAAAAACAGTAATAGCAAAATAAATATAATAAAACTACAAATTAAATAAATAAAAAATCAAAAATTAACATAAAAATATAAATAGGCTAAGTAGGTTAATCATATCGACTAACACCCAAACAAAGAATTAATTTCCTTTAACGTTTCATGTTTTGTGACTAGTGCATTAATTTATAAGAAACTTTCTTGTCGCACTAGGAAATAAGTAAATAAATAAATAGGTTGCGGACGTATGACGGCCGCCGTTGGCTTCAGTTTCTGGTGTCGGGGTTCGTGGCCTTGTACTCTGTTGGTCGGAACGGTGTGGATATGTGGTGTGTGGCACTGATCTCGTAATTGTAGAAGTGTGGTACCGCACTGGATCGTTGTTTCAATGGCGCATAGGAAGTCCATGCCGACGATAACTTGATCCAACATGTTTGGTAGGACCAAGAGGGGTATTTGAACTTCTCTTTGATCCAGTCTGATGTGCGCCAGTAGAATCTGGGTGATCTCTCTGACCGAGCCGTCGGCCAGGCGTATGCGGACGCATGCATCTTGTAGGTTGGTGTTGTTGTCTAGTTGTCGGGCGAGGTTTGCACTGATAAAGCTTCGGGATGCCCCCGTGTCGACGGTGGCTTCCGTTGCCTGTCCTCCTATGGTTACCATTGCCACTATCCGGTTCTCGTTCATGTGTAGCGGGGTTTTTATTCGTGGGTCGGGCAGACGTCGTTCCCGGCTGATCCCGTGTCAGTCGAGGACGCGAGTCGTTTCCCGACGTGTTCTGGCGACAGCAATCGATGGTCCGGGTGCCGCGCTTGCCACATTCC